CAGTCCCATTTAGCTGCTTATTAGCTAATTATCTTCCTGTAATCAAATGAAAAGTAGTAAATATACATTTAAAGAGCAATACAGTATATTTAATTATAAGTATACTGAAATGCAAAAAAATCAAAATTAATATTTTTCTCAGGTCTTTTCTTTGTTTTCCCAAAAAGCCTATATTGAGTGTGACCTCTGGTATGCTACTCAAATACCAACATTAGTCCTGACTTAATTAATATACAAAAGCTGCACCTGGATAATATAGGTCTTTTGTAAAAAAATAATAATGATAGATAGCTTCTGTTGTGTACTAATAGCAAATGTGAAATTATATTCTGTCAACACTGGGTAGATTATGCAGCTGAAACAAATAATTCTTTAGTTCTGGTACACAGAACACATACTTGGGTCTGCTGTTGAACATATTTATACATAACTTGAATGAGAGGTTAGAATATATAATTACCAAATTTACTGATAACACAGATATAGAAGAGATAGTAAATAAACACAAAGACAGTATAAAGATTCAGGAAAATCTTAAACTGGAATTATGGTAGCTAAATATATTTCAACAGGGATGAGTTCTATATTTGGATAGGAAAAATCAAAGGCATGAATATAGGATAGGGGAGATAATATGGGACAGCATTACATGCACAAGGATGCAGGTATCCTGATAGATTATAAGAAGAATGTGAATCAATAGTGTGGCACAGCTACAAAATAGAATTATCCAGGTATGCGATACAAAAGCAATCCATATTACACTGCATCTGGAATACTGTATTTCCTTCTGGGCATGGCGTTTTAGGAAGGACGTTGCCAAAGGAGAGCAACAAATATGATAAGGGTCTGAAAGCAAAAGCTTAATTGGAATGGTAGGAAGAAATTGAATGGTTCTGTATTTTTAGTTTAGAGAAGAAAAGACAATGAAGAAATGTTCTGGCTGTTTTCAAATGTCTGAAAGACTTCAAGATGGTGCTGCTGATGGCAGCCTTGCTGAAATGCTCTCTAGTAGTTTTGATGTTTTTTTATTATTTTCTGTGACTTGCTGTGAATTTCATACACAAGGGACGAGATTTTGAACATAAGACAGCAGATTTTAAATGACAGGCAGTTTTCTGGGATTATTCCTCTATTCTTTACAAATGCGGAGAAAATTCTGACTGAGGGAATGGCGGCTCTCTTTTGGCAACACGGAACAAAAGAGAAAGAAGAGAAGAAAAAGGAGGGGCAAGTGAGGAGGAATTTTACAAAGACTCAGAAAGGGTGGAATAAGAAAATCTCTTCCCTCACTCCTTTTAAATAGAAGTTATTCAGACTTTTCCAAATTAGGAGCTCTCTGCTTCATTGAAACTTGGCTGAGCAAATCAATTAATGATAACTGCTTGCAGTTCCCAGGATTTCAAATTCAAAGTAAAAAAAAAGGAGGAAGTACAGTATCTACTTTTATATTAACAACTGACGTGGTAAAAACGTCACTACACTAAATAAATTTTGTGATGTGGACGTAGAGACACTATTCATTAATTGCATACCCTTTTTTTTGCCCCCAAGAGTTTTCTTCATTCATATTAGTTGCAGTCTATATACCACTCCAAGCTCGCATAAACAAGGCATTGCAAACCTTAGCTAACCAAATCCCGTGGGCTGAACAGAGATATCCAGACTCCCTACTTATTGTATTAGGAGATTTTAACAATCTCCTACTTTAACAAAGCCGGGAGCTGCTAAGATACATTCAGCAAACTGTGTCACTAGAGGCAAGTATATTTTAGACCACTTCTACTCAACATTAAAAGATGCCTATCGCTCTCTACCAAGAGTGGCTGTGGGACACTCTGATTGCTGTATGATTCACCTTGTACCTGTTTATAGACAAAGACTTAAAATCATAAAACCAATAGTTAAAACAGTAAAATCTTGGAGTGAAGAGGCAAAGTTAAAGCTATAGGCTTCCCTCAACTGCACAGACTGGAGCACTTTGAAGCTGCCTCAGCAGATTTGGATGAATTCACTGATACTGTGACATCATATGTTAGCTTTTGTAAGGACTTATGTATGTCAACCAAAACCTTACACATATATAGTAATAATACACCTTGGTTCACAGCTAAGCTCAAATAACTATGTTGTGCCAAAGAGGAAACCTACAGAAAACGAGATAAAATGTTGTATAATCAGGCCAGGAATATAAACAATGGAGATCAGGGCAGCAAAGAAAAGTTACTCTGAAAAACTGAGGAATCAGTTCTCAACAAATGAACCAGCAACTGTATGGAAAAGCCTGAAAAATATACTGGCTACAGCAGACCTCCCTACCTTGCTGAAGGGAATTGCCAACTGGCAGATGATCTGTAGGTTTGAGAGGAGACCATTGTCAACTATCGCTATGCTCTCCATCTCAGATACACCAACAGCCAAGTCTCCTACATCTGACTCCATCCCTCTAGGTCCCCCACCTTTGGTGATCCTAGAAAAAGAGGTACAATGTCTATTTCATAGACAAAAATCTGGAAAAGCACCAGACCCAGACAGGGTAACTCCCTCTTGCTTGAAAATCTGTGCTGATCAACTGGCCCCCATCTTTACCCACATCTATAATATATCACTGGAGATGTGTTACGTCCCTTCTTGCTTCAAACACTTTATTATCATTCCAGTGTCCAAGAAACCCATCAAGGAGCTGAATGACCACAGACCAGTTACACTGACATCCATAGTTACGAAAACCTTCAAAATATTAGTGCTGGCCCACCTGAAAACCATCATGGATCTGCTGTTAACAATTTGCCTACCATGCAAATAGATTGGCAGATGGTGCTGTCAGTATGGCACTGCACTACATCTTACAACCTCTTGAATCCCCAAAGCCTTCAGCTTGGCATTCAATGCCATAATTCCAGAAATTCTTCTCTCTAAACTGACTCAGCCAGTTGTGCCTGACCACACTTGCAGATGGATTATAAGCTTTCTAAAAGGTGGAAGCAGCAGGTGAAGCTAAGTAAAATCACATCAAATACCTGTTCAAGTAGCACAGGAGCTCCCCAGGGCTGTGTGCTCTCTCCATTACTCTTTTCTCTCTATACCAGTGACTGCAACTCAAGGGATCCCTCTGTTAAAGCACTAAAGTTTGCAGATGATACAACAGGCATTGGTCTCATTCAAGATGATGTTGCTTCTGCATATACCGTAGATGGGAGGTTGAACAACTGGCTCTGTGGTGCAGGCAGAGCAATATGGAGCTGAAAATACTTAAAACTGTAGAGATAATAGTAGATTTTAGGAGAAGCCCTAGTATTCTATCACCTCTTACAATATTGGACAACTCAGTATCAAAAGTAAGAGACCTTCAGGTTTCTGGGTTCTATAATCTCCCAGGACTTGAAATGGACACCTAACATTAGAATCATCATTAAAAAGGGACAACAAAGAATGTTTTTCCTGCATCAACTCAGAAAGCTCAGATTGCCCAAGGATCTGCTGATACAATTCTACAGAGAAAATACCAAGTCTGTCATTGTACTCTATACTGTCTGGTTTGGCATAGCAACCATACAGAAAAGGTACAGACTTCAACAGATAGGACTGCAGAAAAAAACAATTGCAACCAGCCTGCCTTCCATTGAGGACCTGTATATTGCACAAGCAGAAAGAGGGCTGAGAAAATATCTACAGACCTCCTTACATCCTGGACATAAATTGTTTCAACTTCTCCCCCTCAGGATGCTATTATAGGGCATTGCATGCCAAAACAATTAACTTTGGCATGCAAGTTTTTTTTTGGCATGCTAGTTTTTTTCCTCCACTCTGTCAAACACCTAATTCCCATAGCATTGTCTTATGCCTAAAGATATTTACCCATGTAATAGGGCTGTATTGCTATTATCTTTCTCATCATCTTTCCTACTACCTTCTTCTATTGGTATCTTATGATTTATCACTTGTTTGTTTCTTATGATTTAGGATTGTATTTACATTTTACAATGTATAATCTATGACGTATCACTTTGTTGTTTGTATGTACACTGAGAGCTTATGCACTGGAGACAAATTCCTTGTGTGTCTAATACATGGCCAATAAATAATATTCCAATGTGGAAGATGAGGTGAAATTGTTCAGCATTATTCCTCCAAGACAGGATATTTAATTTATGAAGTAGATTTCAATTGGATGTTAAAAAAAAAATCATAACACTAAAGTCTGTCAGAAAAGGAAACAAAGTTCTTAAGAAGTAATGGACCCTCTGTGGATGTGTTGGAACTGTGGCAGAAGGGTGCTGTAATATTGAATTGCTACTTAAGTCATTTTCACTTCTTAACGTGTAGCTTCATAGATAGTATTAATAAACATTGTCAAGTAAGCATTGCCGATCGATACTGGCAAACTGAACTGCCTTTTTTCTTCTCCAGGCAGAATTATTGGGAACTTATCCTTCTCTGGTGAAAAGGAGATAGATCTGGCTGTAAAGAATGCACATGCTGCTTTCAAAATATGGAGTCAGAAATCAGGAATGGAACGGAGCAGCATTCTGCTGGAGGCAGCCCAAATTATCCGAGTATGTGATATAAAAGCCATATTGTAAAATTGTGTTGGCAAGTTTATTAGTATTGGGGGTACACCGACTTTTATGGAACCTGGTTAGGATCAAGTGGATAGGATACACATTGATTCCCAGGAATCAGGATGATTCTGGTCAATATTGCTGTGTTGTCACTTTTGACAAGGAAGAAAAAATATGTAAGCCTCAGGTTGTATACAGATCATAAATTGATTTGAAGTGATTTAAAGAAACAGGTCAGATCCTATCGCCACATTAATATATCTGTTAATTTTACTACTCTAATTTTCCCCAAGCAGCTGTACATTGTAAGAAATGAGTTCAAGTAGAAAATCTGTTGTTTTGTAATGTTCAGGAACCTACAATTTAAAGAACGATGTGTGCATGTCTGAGAATCCATAAAGCAATTTACTAAAAGTCTTGTAGATTTTTTTCCAACTAACAAGATTTTAATTTAAAAGCATAAGTCTCTCTCAGCTACAGCTGACTTCATCAAATATAATGGTGGTGTATACTAATGTAGGATTTAAGTTGGTGTCAGGTGGGTGGAAGAAAAGGGGGCAACTAAATTGGTTATGGAGATAACAGGTTATATATTAACCAGGTTACTATCTTATCCATTGAAATTTGTAGTGTATTAAAAATGATTTTTTATTCAGTACTTGAGATTGCCTGAAACCTTTTGATTTGAAAAGCAGTGACTTTTCTGTTGAAGCTGTACAGATAATCCTCGACATAAAACCACAATTGAGCCCAAAAATTCTGTTGTTAAGCAGGGTAGTTATTAAGCGAATTTTGCCCCATTTTACAATATTTCTTGCAACAGTTGTTAAGTGAATCACTGCTGTTAAGTTAGTAATATGGTTATTAAGTGACTCTGGCTTCCCCATTGACTTTGTTTGGCAGAAGGTCACAAAACAGATCACATGACCAAGCGACACTGCAACTATCATAAATATGAGTCAGTTGCCACGCATCCAAATTTATTTATTTTTTTTTTTCCAATATAAAATTTTATTGTTTTTATCATAAAAAAAAAGAAATACATCACAGATATTACACAATGTTATATCCCATCCCCCCACCCCCCGGACTTCCCAAACCAACCTAGGCTAATATTCAAATACAAGTAAACAAATATTAATATCTCTAACTCCAAAATCTAAACTTAAACAATCCATCTCCTCCG